GTCCGCGGCGCGGGCCGGCGCCCTGTCCGGCCCGGCGGGGAGGCCACGGCGGGGCCCGGGCCGCGGACCGGCCTCTGCCCTGGGCCGCGGGGAGCCGGCGGCCGGAGGGCTGGGCGCTCAGCCAGGTCCGAGGCGGGGCCCGGTGTGACGTCAGAGGCGGCCTGCCGGGCCGGGAGGCGGGGCCCCGGTGTGACGCGGGCAGGGAGGCGGGGCCCGGTGTGACGTCAGAGGCGGCCTACCGGGCCGGGAGGCGGGCCGGAGGAGTGTCACGGGGGCCTCTGCCCGCGGAGGGCGGACGGCTGGTGTTTCCTGTTTACATGCTGTGCGGTCCCACATGGACATGGAGGAGGCTGCTCCAGCTGGAACCCCGCCTCCGCGTTCTGGGGGAGGCTGACCACTAAGCCTTTCGCTCTGAATTTCTCTTTACCCACAAAACCGCGGGTCTTCTGCGAAGTGTGCCCGCCGCGGCCCGCCGGCTCCTTTGGGATGACCCTGAGTGCCTGGCCCAGGCCGGATGGGCCGTGATCCCGCCAGCATGTGCTCCAGGAAGATGTGGCCTTAGCTTGGCTCCCTACCCTTACTCCTCCCAGGTCCTTATTCCATCAGGGGTGGCCTCACCCCCAATTCCACAGTGGGCTTTTAAAGAAATCAAGACTTTTTTAATGCTGGTATTATTACAGGAGTTCCCCCGCCCGTCCCTTTGGCCAGGGGTATGGATATGTATTCTTATCCAGTCCCCCCCCCCCACCCCCGCACCATCCAGCCTGTTCCGTGTCACCATGCTTCTGCTTCCATTTCGTTCCTCAGTTTATTCGTTCATTAGATTCACTTATTAGATCAGACAGTATCTGCCTTGCTCTGACTACCTTATTTCATCTAGCATAATGCTCGTCAGGTCCCTCCATGTTGTTACACACAGTAAGACAGCTGTTCATTCATTCATCTGCTGATGGGCACTTGGGCTATTTCCAGCTATCTACCTACACTAATAAAAGAGAAATATGACAATTAACCATACTGCCACACCCACAGCCAATCAGGAGTGAGTATACAAGTTAACCCATCATGATGGGTAATTTGCATACGCAGGCGCTCAGGGTCAGCTGGGGAGGGTGCAGGGAGCTACAGGAGCGCCCTCCAGCTGGAGCGGAGAAGACAGGGCTCCGGCCGCAGCCGTAGCGAAGGCCTGGGCCCCGGGGGCCAGAGGAAAATGTGCCAGCAGCCAGGGGAAGGCCTATTGCACGAATCTGTGCAACCGGCCTCGTGTGTGTGTGTGTGTGTGTGTGTGTGTGTGTGTGTGTGTGTGTGTGTGCTGGGGCTTCTAGTTGTGTATAGTGCTGCTACGAACATAGGGTGTGTTTATTCTTTCTGATTGGCGTTTTGGGATTCTTAGGATGTATTCCCAGAAGTGGGATCCCTGAGTCAAAAGGCAGTTCCATTTTAAAATTTTTGAGGAAATCCCATACTGCTTTCTACAGTGGCTGCACCAGTCTCATTCCCACCGGCAGTGCACAAATGTCCCCTTTTCTTCTCATCCTCACCAGCACTTGTTGTTTGTTGATTTATTGATAACATCCATTCTGACAGGTGTGAGGTGATACCTCTTTGTAGTATTTCTATTGATTTCAGAGGAAGGGAGGAGGAGAGCGACTGAAACATCAGTGAAGAGAGAGAATCGTGATTGGCTTTCCCCTGCACGCCCCACACGGACCGAGCCGCAAACCGGGCGTGTGCCCTGACTGAGTTGAACCTTGGCCTCCTGATGCACAGGTCAACGCTCAGTCACTGAGCCACCCCAGCTGGACACCTCTGTGATTGGCATCTCTGATGATTAGTGACCTTGAGCATTTTTTTTAATGTCTATTGGCCATCTGTATATCCTCTTTAGAGAGATGTCTATATAGGTCCTTTGCCCAATTTTTCTTTTTAAATCCTCACCTGACGATACTTTTCCATTGATTTCTAGAGAGTGTAAGGGAGGGAGCAGGGAGAGAAAAACAACATCACATTGATTGGCTGCCTCCCGTGTGCACCCTTACGGGGGCTGGGAAACCTGTAACCTAGGTACATGCCCCTGATCAGGAATTGACCCCTCAACCCTTCTCTGCAGGCCAGTGCTCTAACCACTGAGCAAAACTGTCCAGGGCTTTTTCCCATTTATTATTGGATTGTTTGTCTTCCTAGTGTTGAGTTGTGTTAAGTTCTTTTTTTTTTTTTTTAATATATTTTATTGATTTTTTTACAGAGAGGAAGAGAAAGTGATAGAGAGTTAGAAACATCGATGAGAGAGAATCATCGATCAGCTGCCTCTTGCGCACCCCCCACTAGGGTTGTGCCCACAACCAAGGTACATGCCCTTGACCGGAATCGAACCTGGGACCCCCCCCAGTCCGCAGGCTGACGCTCTATCCACTGAGCCAAACCGGTTTCGGCTCACATTCTATTTTAAATGATAGCCTTGCTGGATAGAGCTATCTTGGTCCTTGCTTTTCTTTTCTTTTATTTTTTCCCCCACATATAATTTGCTTTTTTTCTTTAATTTTAATTTTATTTTTTTTAAATTTACTTATTTTTTAAAGTAAATCTTTATTGCTCAGATTATTACAGTTGTTTCTCCCCCCCCCCCCCCCCCCATAGCTCCCTTCCACCGGGCTCCTGCCACACCCTTTGCCCTTTCCTCCCCCCAGTCCTTGCTTTTCATCACTCTGAATACTCAGGCCGATTCTTCTGGCCTAAAGTGTTTCTGTTGAGAAATCAGCTGGGCCAAATCTGAACTTATTTGTAGGTAACTGACTCTTTCTCTCTTGCTGCCTTCAAGATTCTGTGTGTGTGTGTGTGTGTGTGTGTGTGCGCGCCGTTTTGTGATGTGCTCGGCCAGGACCCCTGTGGGCACTCCTAGTGAAGGCGGAGGAGACCCTGCTCATGTGCACACCCCGCCCCACCCCGCCGACTCCCCGCCGTCGCCCTCTGTGCTGTGGCCGGAGGCCCGCTCAGCGCGGACTGAAGGCTGTCTGTGGTCACAGATGGCTGTAACTCCTCTTGTTCTCCCTGCGCCAAGGGCGGTGCTGGCACAGGATAGGCGCTTGGCTGGTGCTGCCTGCTGGGTGGCCACCTCTGCCCCATGGGAAGCCCCTGGGATACCTGCCAGCCCCAGGCTCCAGCGCTGGAGCACAGGCAGCTCTGAGGGCTCTGTGGTGGGAGCACAGCTCTGAGGGCTCTGTGGTGGGAGCACAGCTCTGAGGGCTCTGTGGTGGGAGCACAGCTCTGAGGGCTCTGGTGGGAGCACAGCTCTGAGGGCTCTGTGGTGGGAGCACAGCTCTGAGGGCTCTGTGGTGGGAGCACAGGCAGCTCTGAGGGCTCTGTGGTGGGAGCACAGGCAGCTCTGAGGGCTCTGTGGTGGGAGCACAGGCAACTCTGAGGGCTCTGTGGTGGGAGCACAGCTCTGAGGGCTCTGTGGTGGGAGCACAGCTCTGAGGGCTCTGTGGTGGGAGCACAGCTCTGAGGGCTCTGTGGTGGGAGCACAGCTCTGAGGGCTCTGTGGTGGGAGCACAGCTGTGAGGGCTCTGTGGTGGGAGCACAGGCAGCTCTGAGGGCTCTGTGGTGGGAGCACAGGCAGTTCTGAGGGCTCTGTGGTGGGAGCACAGCTCTGAGGGCTCTGTGGTGGGAGCACAGCTCTGAGGGCTCTGTGGTGGGAGCACAGGCAGTTCTGAGGGCTCTGTGGTGGGAGCACAGGCAGTTCTGAGGGCTCTGTGGTGGGAGCACAGCTCTGAGGGCTCTGTGGTGGGAGCACAGCTCTGAGGGCTCTGGTGGGAGCACAGCTCTGAGGGCTCTGTGGTGGGAGCACAGGCAGCTCTGAGGGCTCTGTGGTGGGAGCACAGGCAGCTCTGAGGGCTCTGTGGTGGGAGCACAGGCAGCTCTGAGGGCTCTGTGGTGGGAGCACAGACAGCTCTGAGGGCTCTGTGGTGGGAGCACAGGCAGCTCTGAGGGCTCTGTGGTGGGAGCACAGACAGCTCTGAGGGCTCTGGTGGGAGCACAGCTCTGAGGGCTCTGTGGTGGGAGCACAGACAGCTCTGAGGGCTCTGTGGTGGGAGCACAGCTCTGAGGGCTCTGTGGTGGGAGCACAGCTCTGAGGGCTCTGTGGTGGGAGCACAGCTCTGAGGGCTCTGTGGTGGGAGCACAGCTCTGAGGGCTCTGTGGTGGGAGCACAGACAGCTCTGAGGGCTCTGGTGGGAGCACAGCTCTGAGGGCTCTGGTGGGAGCACAGCTCTGAGGGCTCTGTGGTGGGAGCACAGCTCTGAGGGCTCTGTGGTGGGAGCACAGCTCTGAGGGCTCTGGTGGGAGCACAGCTCTGAGGGCTCTGTGGTGGGAGCACAGCTCTGAGGGCTCTGTGGTGGGAGCACAGCTCTGAGGGCTCTGTGGTGGGAGAACAGCTCTGAGGGCTCTGTGGTGGGAGCACAGCTCTGAGGGCTCTGTGGTGGGAGCACAGACAGCTCTGAGGGCTCTGGTGGGAGCACAGCTCTGAGGGCTCTGTGGTGGGAGCACAGGCAGCTCTGAGGGCTCTGTGGTGGGAGCACAGCTCTGAGGGCTCTGTGGTGGGAGCACAGCTCTGAGGGCTCTGTGGTGGGAGCACAGGCAGCTCTGAGGGCTCTGTGGTGGGAGCACAGGCAGCTCTGAGGGCTCTGTGGTGGGAGCACAGACAGCTCTGAGGGCTCTGGTGGGAGCATAGCTCTGAGGGCTCTGTGGTGGGAGCACAGCTCTGAGGGCTCTGTGGTGGGAGCACAGCTCTGAGGGCTCTGTGGTGGGAGCACAGCTCTGAGGGCTCTGTGGTGGGAGCACAGCTCTGAGGGCTCTGTGGTGGGAGCACAGCTCTGAGGGCTCTGTGGTGGGAGCACAGCTGTGAGGGCTCTGTGGTGGGAGCACAGCTCTGAGGGCTCTGTGGTGGGACACAGGCAGCTGACGGCTTCCCTCCTCCCAACACAGGCCTGTGTGTCCGGGGCACCATGAACGCCATCATCGCCCTCTGCCACTTCTGTGAGCTCCACGGCCCCCGCACTCTGTTTTGCACGGAGGTTCTGCACGCCCCTCTCCCAACGGGGGCTGGGGACAGCCCCGGCCAGGGGGAGCAGGCCGAGGAGGAGGAGGGCGGCATCCAGATGAGCAGCGGGCTCGGCACCCACAGCCCAGCCGACGGGGCCGGCACAGAGTCCAGCAGCCCGGGGCCCAAGAAGTCGGACATGTGCGAGGCAAGTGTCTGGCCCTTCCCTCCCTCCAGGACTCGTGCTTATCCTGGGGCCGCCTGGGGGCGGGCCTCCCAGCGAGTGTGGGCTCCCCGTGGTGTGTGCGGACCATCCTCCATGGAGGGCCTTGGCCTCTTTATGTCCCTTTAGCTTAGCTCTTCCCTTCATCCAGGCTTCAGCCCTTCAGACTGTCACCACCACCACCCCCTTTGCTTTCAGCCTCCCCACCACACGCCCGTGTTCACACCCGTGTCCACATCTCCCATCGGGCGCCGATTGCCTCTGGCTGGTGTTCTCGGGGCTCCCCCTCGGGGCCCCTGGGCTCCTGTGGGCTGCTTTACGAGCTCTGGGAGGCGGACTTTAAGTTCCCTCCCCAGCCACTGCCTCACAGCAGGCCTGGCTGGGCCCTGGCCGCAGGCAGTGCTGGATTCTTGCTCACACCTGCTGGTACCTGCCTCTTCCTGAGCCGCCTGCTCACGGCTGTGTCAGCACCAAGGACAGAGGCCAGCACAGCGCTGTGAGCCGCTGGCAGCCGGGAGCCTCAGGGGTCCCTTCTGTATGACGGGGAGTCTCACTCCTTTCCTCCTAGGCTGTCCTTCGGATTAAAGAGGTAATGTGTGAGAGCTTCTTGTTGTTGTTAATCCTCACCCAAGGACATGTCCCCATTGATTTTTAGAGAGAGTGGGAGGGAGAGGGAGAGAAACATCAAAGTGAGAGAGACACGAGTTGGTTGCCTCTCCCACATGCTCTGACAGAGGCTAGGGATTGAACCTGGAACCCAGGCTCATGCCCTTGACCAGGAATCAAACCGGTGACTCTGGTGTGTGGGCCGACACTCCAGCCACTGAGAACACTGGCCAGCGCTGGAGAGCTTTCTGCTGCATGAGTGCCCAGTAGGTTGGATCTGCTGCTCACACCTGTGAGACCTTTGTGGTCTTTGCATCCTGGTTCCTCTCGTCAGGAAGCATAGGAATCCTCAGGAAAGTACGACTAGCCTGCAGTTATGACTGTGGAGTCTTCACTTCAGCTCCGCACAGGGCAAGAACACACGGTGCTGCTTCCCCACTAACTGGTGTTCTTTTCCTTCTGTGGGCAGGGCTGCCGGTCCCTTGCTGTGGGGCATCCCGGGTACCTGAGCCATGATAAAGAGACTTCGATTAAATACGTCAGCCATCAGCACCCGAGCCACCCCCAGCTCTTCAGCATTGTCCGCCAGGCCTGCGTGCGCAGCCTGAGCTGTGAGGTGGGCACTGCGGTGTGGGAGGGCGGCTGTCCTGGAGATCTCAGAAAGGCCCAGAGGGCGGAAGGAAGACGGGAGTCCTGAAGAGAAGCCACGGGCAGCCCCTGCGCAGGGTGGGGCCGCAGGGCGCCTTCTCCAGAACCCAAAGCACGCTGGGCTGGGCTCTTGGCTTCTCAGCGCTTTCTAGCTTATCACTTAAGCACCAAACTCGTGTTATTTGTTCATTCTTAATGGACACATTTCTGAGCTATGGAATATTTCTAGGATATAGAGTTTACCACAGCAGACCCATCTTCCCCTCTAACATCCTGAAGAGGGAGTCCATTGTTTCTAAGCTCTGCGGCTGCCGCTGTTGAGTTTCGGTCTTAGCTGCTGTGTTTCTGTCTGTCAGGAGGACCCGTAATTCAGTGACAGACTCTGTCACCAGGCCCACGTGGTCAGACCACGGAGCCCCACTCTCAGGGCTCACTTCTGTGCCGTGTGCCCGCCTTCGGCTCTGTCCTGCCTCTTTCTCCTCTCCTCCTGACCTAGCTGGGGCAGGCATGCCGGATGGGCTGTGTGCACAGGGAGCGTGCTGTGTGTGGGACCAGAGTCCTCTCTGCAGACTCCGCACATTCTGTCGCGAGGGCTCCGCAGTGTCTCACTCCGCTCTCCAGTGCCTCTCAGGGATGCGGCAGGTAGAGTCTGGTGGGTTTATTTGTGTAGCAGTTACGGCTCAAGGTAGAAAAGTACCAAGCCCGCTTGGCTGGCCCTTGCACTCAGGATGCCAGACAGTTGGATCCCAGCCAGAGAGGAGAGCAGTTTTCCTCCCACCCCCTCCCCCTCCCGTCGTTAGCGGTGGCCGGAAGGGAGTCTGAGCGAGGCTGGCTGTGCTGGAACCAGGCGAGGACTGTCTTGCTTTGGCGCAGGTCTGCCCCGGCCGGGAAGGCCCCATCTTCTTCGGGGACGAGCAGCAGGGCTTTGTGTTCAGCCACACCTTCTTCATCAAAGACAGCCTGGCCCGGGGCTTCCAGCGCTGGTACAGCATCATCACCATCATGATGGACCGCATCTACCTCATCAACTCCTGGCCCTTCCTGCTCGGCAAGATCCGCGGCATCATCGACGAGCTCCAGGGCAAGGCGCTCAAGGTGACCGGAGGCGGGCGTGGCAGCAGGGTGAGCGGGCGGTCCTGCAGCTGCTGCTCTGTCTGCAGTGATTGTCGTTTCCTGGCCTCGGCCAGAGTTGGGCTGGAGGCCCGGCCGTCACCAGTCAGACCGGTTGCTTCTGTGGTCTCTGATCCTGGTTGGCTCAGCTCTGGCTGCTTGGCTGCCGTCAGACCTGGCTTCACCTGATGTCCTCGTCCTCTGACCTCCGGTGCACAGGCCTGGTCACTAACCACCCCACCCCAGCCGGCATTGCACCTCAGGGCAGGCGGGCCAGGTGATGCCTGGCAGCAGTCTTCTCTGGCTCAAGTTGCAGGGACTGGGGGGATTGCTCTTTGTAGCCAAACTGAGTGTTGCTTGTTTGCCTGCTCAAGGGAAGTGAGGGTGCTGGTCACGTGTCCCCATATGCTCTGCATGGTGAACCCTCCATGTGCCAGAGGGGAGGACTGGATGGATGTGGAGCTTGAGGGCCATGGCCTGGAGCACGCCTGCCGCCTCAGGGTCTCTCCAGCGCCCAGAAGGCTGTCGCAGGAGAGGCAGGAGTGCTGCCAGCTCCCAGCCCAGCCGCTGTTGGAATCCCTGGTGCTCTGTGCTCTGCGCGGGCGGGGACAGGCTTCTGGGCAGCACCAGGATGCTGAGCGTGGGTGCGTTGCAGGTGTTTGAGGCAGAGCAGTTCGGGTGCCCACAGCGTGCCCAGAGGATGAACACGGCCTTCACCCCGTTCCTGCACCAGAGGAACGGCAACGCCGCCCGCTCGCTCACCTCCTTGACCAGCGATGACAACCTGTGGGCGTGCCTGCACACCTCCTTCGCGTGGTGAGGAGGCCGCGGGCCAGGGAGAGCAGGAGACTTGTCGGGCCTCCGTGGTGTGCGGTGTGGTGAGCCCTGACCTGGTCCCGTTCTCCCTGCGGGGTGCAGGGCACGTCCTGTAGAGCGCCCCTCCCTCTTCTTCCCTACAGGTGGCCCCTAAACTCTTAGGGCCCCCAGGAGGCTGGCAACCAGGCCCTGTGTGCAGCGCTGCCCCCAGCTCTTTCAGACTAACCCCCGCCCTGTCTGTAGGCTCGCTGTTCTCGGACTTCTTCCTGAGCCGAAGCAGCCCAGCTGAGGCTCACTTCCCCAGCGCATCCCTCTTCTGTTGCTTCTATCCCAGGTCCTTCTTTGTTTCACTGTCCCCAGCCTTAGTAAATCCTAAAAAAAAAAAAAAAAAAAAAAAAAGCTAGGCCCAGCCGCTGTGGCTCAGTGGTTGAGCGTCTACCTGTGAACCAGAAAGTCACGGTTCAATTCCCAGGCAGGGCACATGCCCCCCATCCCCAGTGAGGGCTATGCAGGAGGCAGCCAATCAGTAATTCTCTCTCATCATTGATGCTTCTATCTCTCCCTTTTCCTTTCTCTCTGAAATCAATAGAAATACATTTTTAAAATATATTTTATTGATTTTTTGCTGAGAGGAAGAGAGAGGGATAGAGAGTTAGAAACATCAGTGAGAGAGAGTCATCGATCAGCTGCCTCCTGCACACCCCCAACCGGGGACGCGCCCGCAACCAAGGCACATGCCCTTGACTGGAATCGAACCTGGGACCCTTCAGTCCGCAGACCGGTTTCGGCAATAAAAATACATTAAAAAAAAAAAAAAGATATTCCAAGACAAGGGATCTTCTTCTTTGTAAACAACAATGAGCAGGTACCTCCCACACCTTCTGTGGGTCAGGAGTTGGAGTGAGGCTCAGCTGCCAGTTTTGGCTCAGATTCTAAGGAGGTTTCGTCACCTGGCTTGGCTTCCTCACAGGGCTGGCACGTTGGTGCTGGCTGTGGGCAGGAGGCTCAGCCCTCGCTGTGCAGACAGGCGAGCTGACTTCCCTCAGGGAGTGATCGAGGAGAGAAGGGGTGGGATATGCCGGCCGCAGCCCCACCTGCTGTGCCCGTTGTTGTGAGGACTGTGCTGTGTCGCCGGGATCAGCTTTGCCCAGAGGAGGGGGGGAGGAGCCAGTGGGTTGGTGGATGTATCTGAAATGGCCCTGTTTGTCCTCTGGCTTTCCATTGTTTCTGTCCCCTATGCACGATCCTCCGAAGACCCCAGATTCTCACTCCTGCGCTGTCAGGGTGAGTCTGGGGTCATCCTCGAAGGTCCCGGTGGGCGAGGAGCTCAGAGGGGGGCCTCAGGCGCAGCTCCCAGGACCTGCGAGCCCACCGGCCCCGTACAGCCCCGGTTTAAAGATCACTCCGTCCAGGAAGCTTGTGACCAGCTCCCGTGGAGTCAGCAGCACGGGCACAGCATCCGCCGTCCCGCTGGCAGCTCTCAGCATGTTCCTGCTTTTCCCCGTCCCTCACTTTCTTCTAGAGTTTCACAGCGAATGTCAACTGTCTCACTTCAGTCATAAAACCATGAACATATCCAACAAAATGGACTGATTTCTTAGTGCCATCCAGCCCAGGCCATGTTCACTTTTCCCGTTTGCCTCAGAAGTGGCTTTTGAATCCGGTCTCACGCAGTGTGTGGCTTGCCCGTCCCTTGTCTGGGTCGTCTCTCCGCTGCTTCCTGTGCCAGTTGTAGGGAGCGCGGGGCCGTCGGTGGGCTTTGCTGATCCCGGTGGTGGTGCTGTTTTCTGTGAGCGGGGAGTGAGAGGAGAGGCGGGAGGGAATCGGGACCAGCTTTCGGGCCAGACACCCCGCTCTGTCCTCAGGCTCCTGAAGGCGTGCGGCAGCCGGCTGACGGAAAAGCTCCTGGAGGGCGCGCCCACGGAGGACACGCTGGTCCAGATGGAGAAGCTGGCCGGTAAGCGGCGCCCTCTGCCATGCGCCTCCCGCAGGCCGGCGGGGCGCTGACCGGGGCCCGGGGACAAGCCCACGAGGAGCCTCTGCAGAGAAGCTGGCCCAGGCGCTCCTGTTTGATTTCCTGTCTCATTTTCCTGGACAGTCCAGGAGAGTCTGTCCCAGGCCCCCGGGAAAACCCCGTGTAAGGACTGGCTGATGGGAAGCTTTCTTGTCCCTGTGTTATCGTTAGCCACGTGCTGGGCCTTTCAGACTCTTACTCGTCAGTAGAGTGCTGTGCTGCCGCCAGACCCAGGGCTCCATCAGGGGCGGCGGTTCCCACACTTCCCTGTCGCGGGCCGCCCTCTCGGGGGTCAGCTCCTGGTGTCTGGGCGCAGGCCTGTGCGCTGAGGAGCTCCTGGGCTGGTGCCTAGGCCAGCAGCCCGGGACCCCTGGGCTCGCCTGCTGTGCTTTACTCCAGAGGGCGGTCCCTGGTGCTTGAGGTCTGGTGTCAGCGGCGTGTGTGTACGGCTCGTTACTAACCCTGCTGGGGTGCTGCGTTGGAAATAACTGACCTTAAAACAGTGGAGCTGTCTCCAGGCCTCTCTGCAGTCAGTTGACTGCCACATGCTTGCACGCAAATCCTCTCCTGAGTAGGAAAGAGGAGATAGAATTCCAGTGAGAGAAGATACTCAGAAAACTTTGCAATCATAGTCCATTGTTGTAGTGATTCTGAGTTCCAAGGCTAGTGAAGATGGTGAGAGGTACCTATGCAGAGGCCCAGGCATCCGGACAGACTTCCAGGCCTCCTGTCACATCTTGGTCGGAGTCCTGTCATAGGCTCAGAGCACGGGCTCTGGGGGCGGCTGACTCATCTCGGGGCCTGCCTTCCACTCCGTTCCCTGTGCTGGCACGGCTCTCCCCGAGGGCCTCACCGGGTGAGGTGTATGCAGACTGATTGAAATTTCAGACATTTCTTTATCTTTAAGTGAGGAGGACGGTATGGAGGGTGGAAGGGTGAGGACGGTGAGAAAGCCCCTGTGGAGTGCGGCTGTGGAGGAGTCAGGCAGCCTGTGCGAGCAGCTCCAGGCCTGCAGGCCTCCCAGCCCGCGGCTCCGGGGCCGAGAGCAGTGTGGCCCTGCCGGGTGCGCAGTGGGGGGGCTTCGGCCTGTGCGCTGCATGGTCATGGGTTTGATTACCATCAAGAGCATGGACCTGGGTTGCAGGTTCCATCCCTCGCCCTGGCTGGGGTGTGTGTGAGAAGCAGCCAATCGGTGTGTCTCTCTCCTCCTGCTCCTCCTTTCTACTCTGAAAACCAATGGGAAAACACCCTCGGTGAGGATTAGCAACAGGAAGGAGTGGTGGAGACGGCTGGCCCCGACCAGAACCACCGTCCCTAATAGCTTAACCATGAGGTGCATTGGGCTGAAGTGGTCACACAAGGAGACCATTGCAGCCAGGAAGTGGAGGAGTCCAGGGCAGCAGGCTTCACAGCTGTCTTTGTTGTCCGTCTTGCAGACTTAGAAGAGGAATCCGAAGGCTGGGACAACTCCGAGGCTGAGGAGGAGAAGGCCTCTGTCCTGCCACAGGGTGCGGAGAGGCGGGAGCTGAGCAAGTGCCCCACAGGCTCCTCCTCGCTCTCAGACTGTGAGAGCTGGCAGCCCCGGAAGCTGTCCGTCTTCAAGTCCCTTCGGCACATGCGACAGGTAGGCAGCAGAGGGTAGTCCCGTCCTCCACTTCGCCCTCCAGCACGCTGGGTCTTTGGGGCTCATGGTGTTGAAGAACCGGCAGGGACGGGTGGTTAGGAGTCACCAGCAGCCTCCTTGTGGCCGCGGGTTCCATACCCCGTCAGGGGATGTGCAAGAATCAACCAGTGAACGCATAAATAAGTGGAACAACAAATGGATGTTTCTCTCTAAAAAAGCAGTAACTAATATCCTTGAGGAGATTAAAAACACGGGGGAGAGGGCTGGTCTGGATGAGAGCAGTATGGGCAGGGCGGGGATCGGCGGGGTGGGACGAGGCTGGTGGACAGAGCACTGGTGGAGACGGAGCCATCTGCTCCGATGCTGGTCTGGCCCGCCGGCGGCGTGAGGGCCGGGTGGAGACCCTGCCCTTGGGTGGCGGTGTCCTGAGCCCCACCCTTGCTTGCAGTGGTTCAGCAGAGTGAAGCGTGTCCAAAGAGAAGGCAAATGTTGCTCACGCCTTTTCTGCTTCAAGGCTCCGAAAATGAAACCGGGAAAAAGGTCTTATATAATGTGCAAGAATTTTGGGATCTGGATTTCAGGCACAAATGTGGGGACTACTGTCTGCCTTCTGACCTTAGCAAGGCGCTCAGCCACCCCGAGGAGCTAAGTGGCTTCTCGTCCTTGACCTGTCTTCCTTGACCATCCAGAGAAGGTTCCAGATTGACACACAGGTAGCATCCGTTGGACAGGACGCACATTCAGGGCAGAGAGCACTGGGCTCTGTCTTTCAGGTCCTGGGTGCCTCCTCTTTTCGCATGTTGGCCTGGCACGTGCTCATGGGGAACCAGGTGATCTGGAAGAGCAGGGACACAGACCTCGTCCTGTCCGCGTTTGAGGTCCTCCGGGTAAGGTGTCTCCCCTCCTTCCTGGTTATAGCGGGCCAGTGTTTGCTGGGCGGCTTTGAAACACCCTGGCTTTGGGTGTGATTGTCAGGGTGCATTGATGCTCCTTCCTGGGACTTGTGTTTTCCCTCCACTATTAAAAATGACAGTTCTTTATGGCTTTGTCTGTAGTGGAAGGAGTCTGTGCTTCCTGAGAGAGTGAGAACTAATGACCCTCTCTCCTGCCCGCACCGAGTCACTCGCAGACCACGGGAGTGGTCACAGCCGCGGAGGAAGCAGCTGTCGCTGCACTGCCTCTGTGCAGCCCTCGAGGGGGGGGGCGAGGGGCAGCATGATAGGTGCCGTGGCCAGGTCTGGCTCGCATGCATTTAAGTCACCAGAAAGCATGAGTGCCTGCCTTCCGCAGCATAGGCCTGTGAGGGCCCAAAGGGAATATGACAACCTCTCAGCGTACAATCTCCATGGGTGAGGGAAGAGACAGTTGTCTGAGAAATAAAATAATTATTTAAGAACTACAGGCCCGATGCTTGAAATTTATGCACTGGAGGGGGCCCTCAGCCCGGCCTGCTCCTTCTCCGTCCAGGAGCCCTCAGGGGCCAAGGCAACACCCCTCTGCTGCTGCCACTGCCGGCAGGGCAAGCCTGGCCGGCCCTGGGCAGCTGGGGGACTCAGTAGGCAGGCCATGCCACACGTCTGCTGCCCCAGTGGCGCCGAGGGGACTGGGCACCACCATCTTGTGGTTGTGGACTCTGCCATCTTTGAGGGCGTGGCAGTCAATTAGCATATTCCCCTTTTTATTAGGTAGGATTAACACCATAAAGCAAAAGGCAGCACAAGACCAATGGCCAGGAGACACCCAGTGGGGCTGAGTGACCAGGGACGCCCCGGGAGGAGGGAGACTTTGGATTGCGCTGGAGAGGGCCCTGGAGGGTGGGTGATGGACACAGGCAGGCCAGGGTGTCCACCTGCTGTCAGTCTGAGTCCCTCTCTCTGCAGACCATGCTGCCCGTGGGCTGTGTGCGCATCATCCCGTACAGCAGCCAGTACGAGGAGGCCTACCGCTGCAACTTCCTGGGGCTCAGCCCCCACGTGCAGATCCCCGCCCACGTGCTCTCCTCAGGTGCGTCTCTCCTCCCCGAGGCCCAGCACTCAGCGCCTGGCCTTGGCTGTGCGTTTGAGGGTGTCACCTGCTGGTCTTGGGAGCAGGGACCCACATTGCAGGACCAGCTTTCCCAGTGTCACAGGCCCTCTGGTTTCTGCCTTTAAAACGGAGGAGGATTGGACGGACAGCTTCGTAGCGAGGGGGCTGACGGGCATGGCCCTCGGGTGGGGCAGGCCGCGGTCTGGGAGTGGGAACCAGTAGCTGTCAGGACTGTAGTTGCGTCCAGGCCAGTGAGTCTGATGCCGTCGAGCTGGGGGCTTGCTGGGCTACCACACCGCCTTCACAGGTCCTGCGTCTCCTTTGTTCTCATGTTCTGTCCTACTTCCTTGTCCTCTCAGGTGTTCTCTTCCTTGTACATGCCTTTTTAAAACAAGAGCTTGTTTGAGCCAAAACTGGTCTCAGGTGCTCCCCTTCTCTAGACCTTAAAGGCCTCTTTCACATCCATTGTTCAGCCGGTTCTGCCCTCAGTGCCCACAGGCTTACTGCCGAGAAGCTAATGGGCACCCCTCACTTTGGTTCAGGAAGCTCAGGAGTCAGCGTAGACGCCATCGCAACTGCCAAGGCGGCTGGGGCTTCCGGTGCCACAGGGAGCCCTGCGCCGGGGAGGGAGCAGTCAGGGCGTCCGGCCGCGGCAGCCCGGGGCAGCCTCCACTCGGCACCGGCTGGGTCTGGAGCGCTGGAGAGGCAGAGCTCTGTCCTGGGTCCAGTTCAGGGTGCAGGCTCTGGTTTCAGGGCGGGCTGAACGTCTTACCCCTTCTAGTGGCTTCTGAGTCCATTTCCCTGTCTGTAAACGGCACCCCTCTCTGACGGTCATAGGGCTGTTCAGTATATAATTAGTAGTTATTGTAAAATAACGTGTGGTTAGTCTGCCTGAGGCCAAAGTTAACCCTTCCCTGTTTACAAATAAGCCGCAGGAAGCTCTCGGTGCCCACGAGTCAGGCTCCGGAGATGGGTTCCTGGGTGGTTTGAGCGGAAGCAGCGGTGGCTGCTGCCGAGTGGGGGACCCTCCCTGGAGCAGTGGTTTGTGCTGCTACAGAATTCGCCGTCGTAGTGGAGGTCCACACAGCCGTTCCCTCCAGCCTCCCCCTGGCCGGGTGCGAGGACGACCAGTCTCTCAGCAAATACGAGTTCGTGGTGACCAGCGGGAGTCCTGTGGCTGCAGACCGAGGTGGGTGCTCCCGGGCGGGCTGCCTGGGCCAGGAGGAGCGCGGGAGGGGGGTGCCTCCCTCCTGCGCTGACTCCCTCCCCGCCCCGTCCACCTCCCGTTCCCAGTGGGCCCCACCATTCTGAATAAGATGGAAGCTGCTCTGACCAACCAGAATCTGTCTGTGGATGTGGTTGACCAGTGCCTCATCTGCCTCAAAGAAGAGTGGATGAAGTGAGTACCGGCCGCTGCACTCCTGGGGGGCTCATTGCTGAGGGGGGGGCTGGGTTGCCAGCAGCATTGTGTCTGCGAAGGAGAACCAGAAGCTGTTTTCAAAGAAAGAGGGGAGGCTGTGGCTACCAGAGAGGCAGTTGAGAGCACAGGTTAAGGGTGAGTTCAAACACCAGCTCCGCCACGAATATATTGGCTGGTGACACCATGCAATGACGGGTGCCCCGAGCCTCAGGCTGCTCTTCTGTGAGACAGGGTGACACCTGCTCCAAGGGAAGCATTTATTTTTGCTGCTTAATTAACTTTAAAAATTCTGTTTCACTAAAACAAGTTAATTTATTTCCTTCTGCCTGCTTAGTAATTTTTTGTCCAATTTAATGAGTGAAGTATTATCCTGATTTCAAATAATATAGCAAAGCTTAGGATCAATCAAATTCTTTCATGAATTTAAGGGAAATTTTTTTCCTACTTTTTCCCCATTTTGATACACCAGCCACATTAGGGTCTGATGGGAGACCCTAAGGTTGCTGCTGTGCTGTCCCGTCTGAGGGTTTGAATTCCAGCTCTGCTTGCAGACGAGAGCTCGGTGATTGTGCTGTGGCATCTGAGTGTTTTGTTTGATTTTCTGCAGCAAAGTGAAGGTCCTTTTCAAATTCACCAAGGTGGACAGTCGGCCCAAAGAGGACACACAGAAGCTCCTGAGTATCCTCGGAGCGTCTGAGGAGGACAACGTCAAGCTGCTCAAGTTCTGGATGACAGGCCTGAGCAAAACCTACAAGTCCCACCTCATGTCCACGGTCCGGAGCCCCCCGGCCACAGAGCCTCGTAATTGACCCTCCATGGAAGTCTGTCCGGGATGCCTCTGGGAAGTGGCGATGGCCATCCTTGCCATCGCACTCAGAGGGTGCTCTCCTGGCCCCGGGCTGGGTCCTCGCTGGGAATGTGACTGTTGGGGCTGGCCTGTGCCTGTGTGTGGGGTTTGGGTGTGGTGAGTTCTTGGGATCACCCCACCAGCTGTTTCCATTGCTCCGGCCTGAAGATGACGTGGAGACTTGTGCAAAGGACAGGCCCTGTGTCAGTGTCCCTGTGAGAGAAGACGAAGGAAGCCGTGTCTCCTTTCTCCTGGACTTAGATCTCAGCTCCTACAGGAAGACATGCCAGGCCAGTCCTGACCTGGGCATTCTAGCCACAACATCATGCTTTCTCTTGGGGCTAACATTCAATTCTTTGTTCTGTAATTCAGCAGGAGCTGTCCAGGGATTAAATGCACACATGTACTATCGCTACAGGTCCCTTTTAGAAACCTGGCTTTGGTCAGGGCTCTGGGAAGGCTTTCAGGGCAGAGAGGTGTTCCTCATCGTGGGACATGGGAGCGCATGCTCTGAAATCATGTGACAACCAAGTCTTCTGCCAGGCTGTCCTAGCATTGCTTTGAAATTACCCATAGTTTGAGGGCAAGCCCCTGATCTTTGTTACACAAAGATGACACTTTGCCGAAATGTTCAGTGGAGCCATTTGACTTGCCCGGCTCACTGTGTGCGATTCCACGTCACTTTGTTTTTATTGCTGCTTTACACATTCACATTTGGCTGCAGTTAACCTTCAGAGCATGGAGACTTAAGATCATTTCATCCTCTCTGTGCATTTTTTATAAGAGTTCATGGCTTGAGGGATTTTCCAGCAGTTTTGCTGATTTGTTTAGTTTTTTGTTTGTTTATATGTAACATGAAGACTAAGTATATGACTAGGTGTTTGTATTATGTAAGAACATTGAAACAATAAATATGTATTTTTATAAAATATTGACCACGTGGTTTCATAACTAAAGTTTTCTTGGGATCAATCACAGAAAATATGGTTAAAATAACACCAGTAATGATATAATTATTTTGAAACTTGAATCTATGAAAGGCTTACAACTTCCAGGGAAAGACTGGTAAACTGGTTAATTTTGGTCAATTTAAGCTCCTGGCTCAGTAGCAACTACCTCTCCACAACCCCCTGCTGCATAGCAGGCAGTGGTCAGCAGCTTTCACACAGCGTGGGAGCTAGAATGGTAAAAGGGACCCTGTCCTGTTAGGAATCTGTGCTCCCATCACTGATGCTACTTCTGATCACAAAGGTGCAGGCAAAGAGGTTGGCAGACGTTGCACCTCTCCCCTTGTTGCAAGCCCCTCCCCTGCTGAAGTGACTAGCAGACTTAATGGCCAATGAGAAAAATACACTTCTGGCCTATTCTTGACAAAGAGACAGCTGACAACAATGAAACCGGTTTGGCTCATTGGATAGAGCATCGGTCTATGGGCTGAAAGATCGCAGGTTCGATTCCGGTGAGGGGCATGTACATTGGTTGCAGGAGGCGGCTCTCTCTCTCTCTCTCTCTCTCATCAATGTCTCTCTCTCATCAATGTTTCTGGCTCTCTATCCCTCTGCCTTCCTCTCTGTAAAATATCAATAAAATATATATTTTAAAAAAAGTGAAAATAACAAAAGACAACAAAACTTGAGGGAGGAGTATCTTATTTTCAGTTAACACATTACTACCCTGTTTCCCTGAAAATAAGATAGTGTCTTATATTAATTTTTGCTCCCAAAGATGCGCTAGGTCTTATTTTCAGGGGATATCTTATTTTTCCATGAAGAAGAATACGGTACACATTTATTTTTAAATGAAATTTATTATCTGTATACGGTACGGTAGTTGTCAACACAAACCAGACAAACTGTGAATCCTACAGTATCAAGAATTTACTCATTTATTCAATGACAATCATGTCATCCTCTTCTGGAACATCATCATAGCAATCCAATTCCTGAATTTCCTGGGGAATTTTCTTGTGACTCCATTTCTTTCAGAATCAGTGGACCAAATCTCTCATGTTTAGCAACAGCACTGTCTTTAAATGATTACTTCTTGTCAAGGTAGTGCATTTGCAATGCAATTGTCAGTGATTTTCTCCATGAATTCTTCACCCAAGTCACAACTTCTTGCAGTTTAGGTTTCACAAAATTTCCACGCTGATTTCTCTCCATTCTATTTTCAGTGTAGTCATTAATTTCCATGCGCAAATTGTCTTTGAATGGCTTGTTTATTGCAAAATCAAGGGTCCGGAGATAAGGAGATCCAAGATGGCTGTGCCCAGGTAAACACCTAGCCGCAGCCGCACACAACAATTTCAATAAAATACAACTAAAATATATAATGGACATTACCCAGAACTACAGGAAAGTTGACTGACTGGAAATTCTACAACAAGAAGCAAGGAGAAAACCAGAAGGAAGCACGGAGGAGCTGGAAAAGCCTAAGGTACAGAGACACACAGCGCGCGGAGAGGACGGAGCCGGAGTGGAGGGAGGCTGAGTGCCTGGCGGGCGTTTCCTAGCGGGAAGGAGATAAAAGCTCCGACTTTGCTGGGCCCCAGTTCTGACTGCTCTGAACCCCAGTTCTAGGCCAGACCCCGGGGACCCAGGCTCATCCATAGGGAGCTGGGCTGTAAGGCAGAACCCGGGGGAGCGGCGAAAGGGGGTCCTGGCGGCGCGCACATCGCGTGCAGAGAAGGGACGGCCGGCTGTGCCACGGGAGTGCCCTGGCAGGAAGGAGACAGGGGCTCCAGACTGCTCTGAACACCACCTCCAACTCCACTTCCAACTGAACTGAACCCCAATACCGGGTTCATTGGGGGAGAGCCTAGACTGTTTGGTAGCAGGCAAAAATCAAGGGCGCCTTTCTCTCAGAGGCGCTTTGCAGCGAGTACTGAAGGACCCGCATAGGGCGAGGCTGATGGAAGCCAAGGCTGTAGGCTCTACCCTGAAATCCCATCCCATCTGTAACTGCGAAATGCAACAACGAAATAGACCACAGACGAAAGAAATGGAGGACAAAAAGCAGCTGGATATAGAGTTCAAATCTATGCTTATATGGTTTTTCAAGAATTTCCTAGAAAAGATGGATAAGACCTATGAGGATATGAAAAGAGATCAACTAGAATTAATAAGGAGTCAACAAGAAATGATAAGGGATCAACAAGAAATAAAGAATACATTGTCTGAAATAAAAAATATTATACAGAATCCTAAAAACAGAATGGAAGATCGCAAGAATCAGGTCAAAGATTTGAAACATAAAGAGCCAGAAGACACTCCTTCACAGAAGCTAGAAGGAAAAAGAATCCAGAAAATTGAAGATAATGTAAGAAACCTCTGGGACAACTTCAAGCGAACCAACATCAGAATTATGGGGGTCCCAGAAGATGAGAGAGAGCAAGATATCGAAAACATACTGAAAGAAATAGTGACAGAAAACTTCCCCCACCTGGTGAAAGAATTAGACTTACAAGTCCAGGAAGCTCACAGAACTCCAAACAAAAGGAATCCAAGGAGGACCACACCAAGACACATCATAATTAAAATCCCAAGAGCAAAAGACAAAGAGAGAATATTAAAAGCAGCAAGAGAAAAGCAGGTAGTTACCTATAAAGGAGCACCCATATGATTGTCAGCTGATTTCTCAACAGAAACCATGCAGGCCAGACGGGAATGGCAAGAAATATTCAAGGTGATGAATAGTAAGAACCTACAGCCAAAGATAATCTACCCAGCAAAGCTATCACTCAGAATCAAAGACCAGATAAAGAGCTTCACTAATAAAAAAAAGCTAAAGGAGTTCATCACCACCAAACCAGAATTATATGAATTGCTGAAGGGGGTTCTTTCAGAAGAGAAAGTAAATAAAGATAAAAATTATGAACAACAAATAAGTAACTATCAACAAGTGAATCTAAAAACCAAGGAAATTAAAAAAAAAATCTGATGAACAATATTAACTGCTGAATATAATAGAATCAGAGGTATGGAAGGGGAGTGAACTGACGATTCTTGGGGACAGCAGGAGAGGGGGATGTGGGAAGAGACTGAACATAAACTGTGCACCTATGGATGAGGACAATGGGGAGTGGAGAAAGGGCAGAGGGTGGGGTGGGAACCCGGTGGAGGAGAGCAATGGTGGTGGGTGAGGGGAAAGGAACATTTGTAATAATATGAACAATAAAAACTTATTAAAAAAAAAAAAAGAGTCCAGAGATAGGCCGTCATTCCTGCGGGAATCATTATTTGATTTGCCATATTTTCCGGCGTATAAGACGACCACCTAATTTTACAGTTAAAACATAGGTGTAGGCCTCTATTCGCTGTATATGACTACCCCCCACTTCAAAGAAAAGGCTTACTTTGCCATCAAGATCTGCAGGTAATTTTTTTTTTTAATCAATCTTTATTGTTCATATTATTACAAAGGTTCCTCATTTCTTCCCCCCTCCACCAGGTTCCCACCCCACCCTCTGACCCCTCCCCATCCCCCATTGTCCTCATCCATAGGTGCAGTTTATGTTCAGTCTCTTCTTCCCTCCCTTTCCCCAATAGTAAATCCCTTTTCAGATAGTAAATCAGTTACTTAGCATTTTCTCAAATCAATAATACCTCCACATGCCCAATGATACACTTCACACAAAAGACATTTCCCAATAGGTCCAACAGCCTCATCCAGGCCCCACCCAAGGCACTCACAGATCAACACCCCAGCCCTATACTAACTCAACACATCCGATCTAAGCCTTCATCACTTGATTCAGCAGAACCCTCAAGTTACCACGAAAGTTTCCAGCCATGTCTGAGAAGCAGCCGTGGGGCAGGGGCAGGGGAGGAGCAAGCTGTTCCGGGCCTGGCTGCTCAGGGCCTGGCCTCTGTTGCTCTGGTTCGTTCCACAACCAGCTGCTCCGAGTCTGGTCACTGCCACTCCCGACCTAGTTGCTCTGGACTTGGCTGCTGCTGCTCCGGG